TGGGACATTGATCAATGCTCAGCTTGAATTGAGGGTTTGTTGGAGTCACAACAGGCTTTGAATTCGACATACCAAACTTGTCAAGAATCTTTCGTAGGTATGCCTCTTGAGATAAGCATAATTTCGACTGCTTTCTATCTCTTCGAATGTCAATTCCAAGAATCCTAGATGCAGCTCCCAGATCCTTCATGTCGAACTCCTTATTGAGTTCAGCCTTCACCCTCATTACATCTTCGACATTGTTGCTTGCTATCAGAATATCATCAACATAAAGCAACAAAATAACAATTGAATTTTCAGGTCGAAATCTGGAGTAAACACAGTGGTCGAACTGACTTCTAATGAAACCTATGTGTTCCATGAACTTGTCGAATCTCTTATTCCACTGTCGAGGAGATTGTTTAAGTCCATATAAAGATCTCTTCAGTTTGCACACATAATCTTCTTTCCCCTTTTCGACATACCCTTCAGGTTGCCTCATCAGGATTGTTTCATCTAAGTCACCATACAAGAGCGCAGTCTTCACATCCATTTGTTCCAGTTCAAGGTCGAACTGAGCCACCATGGCAAGCAACATTCGGATGGATCTGTGCTTCACAACAGGGGAAAATTCATCATTGAAGTCGACACCTTCTTTCTGAGTGAAACCCCTTGCGACTAATCTTGCCTTGTACCTCTTCGACATTACTCCTTCAATTCCTTCCTTAACTTTGAAAATCCACTTACAGCTGACTAACCTTGCCCCAACAGGTTTCTTGATTAGTTCCCAAGTGTGATTATCATGAAGAGATTTCATCTCATCATCCATGGCCTTTAGCCATTCAGTCTTCATTCGACTCCTTATAACTTCCTTATAATCTCTAGGTTCTTCGTCTAGAACTTCACTTGCAGAGATTAAGGCATAAGCTACAAGGTCTGCATATCCAAGTCTCTGAGGTGGTTTTATGACTCTTCTTTGCCTATCTCTCGACAATAGGTAGTCATCAACAGTTTCCTCAACATCATCAGAATCTTCTGTTTCTTCTTCGACTTCATCTGGGATACGCATTTCAGCATCAACATGCTCCACCTCAACAGGAATCTCTACCTGTTCCAGCTCTTCGTCAACATCATCAGTTTTCTTGAAAGCCATTTCAGTTTCATTGAAAACTACATCTCGACTGGTGATACACCTCCTGTGACCTGGCTCTAGGCACCATAGCCTATAAGCTTTCACTCCTTCAGGGTATCCCATAAACATGCATTTCAGAGCTCTAGGTTCGACCTTGTCTTGCCTAATGTGAGCATAGGCTACACAGCCAAATACTCTTAGTTTGTCGAGATCTGGTGGATGTCCCGACCAAACTTCTTCAGGTGTCTTCATATCTAACGCTGTCGAAGGACATCTGTTTATCAGATATGCTGCTGTCGAAACAGCCTTAGCCCAAAACACCTTCTTTAATCCCGCACTAGTCAACATGCATCTAACTCTCTCCAAAATAGTTCGATTAAACCTTTCAGCCAAACCATTTTGTTGTGGAGTACCTGCGGTAGTTCTGTGCCTTGCAATACCAGAGGCCACACAAAAACTGTCGAACGCCTCATTGCAAAACTCAAGGCCATTGTCGGTTCTCAACCTCTTTACCTTTCTGCCAGTTTGATTTTCGACAAGAGTCTTCCAACTTTTGAAATTCTCAAAAGTTTCATCCTTAGTCTTCTGGATGAATACCCATAACTTTCTGGAATAGTCATCTACTATGGATAGAAAATACTTTGCTCCTGAATGTGATGGACACCTTGCAGGCCCCCAAAGATCAGCATGGATGTAATCAAGGGATCCATGTGTTCTTTGTTTTCCTTTGTTGAACTTCATTCTACAGGACTTTCCAAGTACACAGGGTTCACAAAACTTCAGCTTTTCGACTTTATCTCCACCAAGCAGATTTTGTTTCCCTAATTCGACCAGACCCCTTTCACTGACATGGCCCAATCTCATGTGCCAAATTTCTGTCTTCGACAAAGGTTTCGTGGATGCAACATTTGTCGAACCACTTACAACTTCAGCCTCAAGGGTATACAAGCCTTGTTTCTTCACGCCTCTCAAGACTTCCTTCGACCCTTTCATGACTCTTAGGATACTTTTCTCTCCTTGAAAGACATATCCTTTCTTGTCGAATTCACCAAGAGAAATCAAATTTCTCTTCAAATCAGGTACATACCTGACTTCAGTCAACAATCTTATTGACTCATCATGGAGCTTGAATCTCACAGATCCAACGCCTGCAATCTTGCAAGCTTTGTTGTTTCCCAGCAATACAGATCCACCATCTTGATCACATAATTCCTCGAACAAGTCTTTGTTTGGAGTCATGTGCCAAGTGCATCCAGAATCCATAATCCATTCCTTCGACGAGTTTTTGCTTGAAACCACAAGAACATCAGATGATTCGAAATCATCTTGGACAATAGCTGCGTTGCCATTATCCTTACCTCCATGATCTTTCAGGCGTTCAGGGCACACCTTTCTTGTGTGACCTACTTTCTTACAGTGATAGCATCTAATACCAGATGCATCACCACTATAAGACTTCGACTGATTTTTACCTTTCCTCTTGTCGAATTTTCCTTTAACAGCCAAACCTTCACCAACCGTCGAAGGTTTATGCTCCTTACGTTCGTTCAAGTCCTTAGAGTACAAAGCTGATTGAACTTCTTCAAAGGTCAGGGACTCTCTTCCATACAAGAGGGTTTCTTTGAAGTGAGCATGTGATCTGGGCAAAGCGCACAATAATAACAGCGCTTGATCTTCATCATCAATCTTTACATCAATATTTTCAAGATCAAGAATCAGCTTGTTGAACATATCCAACTGCTCAGCCAACATTTTGTCTTCAATCATCTTGAATGAATACAAAGCTTGCTTCAGGTAGAGTCGATTTACCAGAGATTTGGTCATATACAAACTTTCAAGTTTCACCCATAACCCTGATGCCGTCGTCTCCTTTGATACCTGTCGAAGAACCTTATCACCAAGGCTCAACAAAATTGCGCTGTGTGCTTTCTCGATCATGGCCGTCTTCTCTCTTTCTGTTAACGCAGCGTCCATCGCCGTCGCTCCCTTCAACGCTTCCAAACAACCCTGCTGAACCAGTAGGGCTTTCATCTTCAAGCGCCATAGACCGAAATCATTCACTCCGGTGAACTTTTCAATCTCATACTTTGTTGAAGGCATCTTCTCCACGCTCACCGCACCAATTTGTTGTGAATTCAATGCCAATAACAAAGTATAGAATAAGGGAAGAATAAAGAACAAGGAAGAAGAAGAACACAAGAATTGGTTATAACTGCTATTCTTTACTTTCTCTTAGAAAACAAGATTACAAGTTTACGAGAATAACAAACACCTTTTGAGTTGTATGTCAGATTCAGTAGATCAGCGGATGAGGTTTTATCATTGTGTACAAAACCGTGTAATTTACAATATTCGCAATAAATTACAAATTTATATTTATTCAACTTTCATTAAATTACTCTACTACCTACCAACTCTAATTAAATAACTTTACTACCTATTAACCATAATTAATTAAATTATTCAACTACCAACCAACCACACTCACCTCTTTTTTCCTATAAATACCCAATCACTCTCACCTCATTTCTCCACAAACACACTTCATTCTATTCACACTCTCTACTCTCTTTTGATAAGTTTTCTCTTCTCTCTTTTCACAAGTCTTGTTCTTCATTTTCACAGTTATGGCCAATATGTTTTGGTATAGTACACAACATAGGGGAACGGTAGAAAATATCAATGCTGTAAGTTTTTTTGATTTATTCAACTTTATTCGTATTATTTATTTTTGAGTTTACAATAGTAGTTTTATTCATAATTTGCATAGAAATAATGAATATTTTTCTATATTATTTATTTCTATTACAGATTGATGATAATTATATTTCAAAATGGAGAATCTGTGCTCACAAACCTCTGAAGCCACATGGAGCCATAATCCCGTACCTTCATCAATCTGGGTTCTACCATGTATCTACAATAGGGTCAACATATATCGATTCAAGGTTAGTTATAGCCTTACTGGAACGGTGGATACCCGAAACTCATACATTTCATCTTCCAAATGGTGAATGCACAATTACGTTGGAAGATGTGAGTATGTTACTGGGTCTTCCTGTTGATGGAAAAGCGGTAAATGGTTAATCTGAGTTGGGTGATGGTGCATGGAGTTCTATTTTAGGGGATGAACCGCCACAAAGTGATAAAGGAATGACGGCGAGGTTGACATGGCTTAAAGACATGTACCAACATGAACCACCAACCGAGGAGTCACCCGAGGAGTATAAAATTAAACATGCTCGTATTTATATTTTACTCCTTATCGGGCAAGTTTTGTTTCCCAACAAAAGCGGAAACACTATACACTCAAAATGGACACAATTTGTTGTTGATTTAGAAGATTGTGGAAAATTTAGTTGGGGTTCCGCCGTTTTAGCGAATTTATATAGGGAAATGTGCAAGGCGGTAGACATAAAAGTAACATAGCTGTCAGGATGCGTTTTACTTCTTCAAGCTTGGGCTTTTACACGCATGCCTATAATATCTCCGGTGGCTCCGCTTCAATCTCCATATCCATACGCAAGAAGGTAATATTTTATTTTAAATTTAAAATTATAATTAATATTGTTAGGATACTCTAAAATAAAATTTTATTTTGAATTCTTTTTAGATGGTGCATCAAGAAACTTGACTACCAAAACAACCCGCGCCACCATCTTCAAGGATACCGATTCAGGATTGATCACATGCTTGAAGATCAGGTTTTTTTGTCTTCACCTTAATATTTCTTATAAATTTTTGAATTTTATTTTGGTTAAACTAAAATATTTTATCTACAACTTCTCAGTTTATTTGGAGGCTGTATCTTAGATTAGCGCCCCAAAGGCACGAGGACAGCTTGATATGGAGTTCAACTACGTATATGATATGCTTTCATATTGTAGAAATGCATCAAGCTGATAGGGTCAAACTACAATTTGGCCATTTACAAAGGATACCTGAAGAAGCTCGATGCTTGGCTGAACACCATAAAATGACAACATTAAAAGCGCGTCGACATGCATATACCACATTATACTCTGATGAACAAAATTGTTGGTTGCATCGAGAATTGTTTACGTTGGATGGAGATCAATTACAAACAGAGGAGAAACCGTCAAAAGAGTACATGCAATGGTATCACTCACTTCCACATAGATATGCATCGTACGAACAATTTCTCACTGACCCTTGCCAAAATCAATATGCCTCTACTCAGGCAAGTGGCTCTCAACAAACTCACCACTCACAACATTCTCAGCCTCCCCAACCCCAATCCTTCCAACAACAAACTCCTCACTTTTCCCAACATCAAACACCCATCCCCCATTATCCTGAACAACAAACTTTTAACCCACATTTATCTCAACTACAAACTCCTGCCCCTTATTTTTACCAAAATCAAACCTTTAACACCCAATACCCGCAATCTCACTCCCAACCAAATTACATTTATGAATCCCAACAACCACAATTTTATAATAGGCCAACTACACAATTCACACTCATCATGCGACCAAACTTCGATTCCTCCTCCTCCCAACATAACCCGCCATATTTTCCAACCATGTGTCCGCCACAACAGCCGCAATATAATTTGGGCGAAGATCTTAACGTCAGTGATTATGATTTACTGCAAAGTATTTGGTCTCCTCCACAAGCTACCGCTCCTACTCAAGATAATCCTCCAACATCAGATGCAACACAACAAAATCCTCTAACAACAGAGACCGAAGAACAATTCCTCCAACAACAGAGACCGGAGAACAATATGGTTTTGGTCATCGTGCTCCGCGACCGCGTCATTGTTTTACCGGTACTCGTTTAGGACCGGATCATCAGCATTAAATAGTATAATTGTGAATGTTTAACAGTTTTATTTTATTTTGCATTTTGATTGTAATTGACATATTTTATTTATTTAATAAAAAAAATTTATTATCATTTTGTAATTGTTAAATATTTATTCGAAGTATTAATTTATTTTCATATTTAATTGTTAAAGGTATAAACATAAAAATAATAAATTTTATTTAATAAAAAATATTTTTAATTAATATAAACATTAAATAATACATTTTATTTAATAAAAAATATTTGTAATTAATATAAACATTATATAATAAACTTTATTTAATAAAAAGTATTTTGTTAATTAATATAAATATTAAATAATAAAAGTTATTAAAATAAATAATTAAAAATTCAGAAAAACGAAGAAAAAAAAAATATAAAACCCCTTCACGCCATTTGAAATGGCGTGAGCCCTTCCTGCTCACCTTCGCGCCATCTCAAATGGCGTGAACCCCTCCTGAGTGTGGCATTTTGAAAAATATTTTTCAGGATGTGGCATTTTGAGATTTTTGTTTCAGGGGTGTGACATTTTGAGAAAAAATTCGTGTGTGTCAAGTTATAATTTAGTGAAAAGTGAGAGTGATCCAACTTTGGCGTTTTTCTTATTTAAAGCCAAATATGCACGTGCCATCATAATCACCCCCCTTTCACTTTATATAGATATGTTCACGTGGACTAATATTATATAATAAAAAATGACAAAACGTGGTTCAAATCTTGCAGTTCTTGTCTCCTTGCCGCGTAGTGAACATCATCAATTCTCTCCTTATCTTACACACGCCTTCGAACTGAGTTGACCATTTGCAATAAGTCAATTTTCATCACTCGCTTCACTTATGCACCTATATATACTCAGCCGCAAAACTCTACTCTCAAAATATCATACGACAACAGAGATCACATTTCTTTTAATAAAACACCTTTCAATTCTAAGATACAAGAATAACCCAAAATCATAACAACACTTGTGATTATATTTTTAAGTGTTTCTATAGTTACTTTCTCAGAAACCTTTAAAAAGTGAACATGGTGAAAACAAATGAGGAGAAACTTGCGGCGGAAAGAAGTGATTCATTGTTTCGAGGAGTGAGGAAGAGGAAGTGGGGAAAGTATGTGTCGGAAATCAAATTGCCAAACAGCCGTCAAAGAATATGGTTAGGTTCTTATGACACCGCAGAGAAAGCGGCGCGTGCATTTGACGCGGCTACGTTCTGCATACGTGGCAGTGGTGTAAGGATTAGTTTCTCTAGTAATATTCCCGATATTGCCGGAGGAAGGTTCATGAGCCATTTTGACATTCAATCCGCCGCCACCCGTTTTGCCAACTCGGAGCCCCACAATGAGTGTTCGGTTCGACCCAATAATACTCCATCAGATGAAACACTACCTTCGTCGTTGGAGACACCAATCACACCATTGTTGCCTATGGAGTTGCCATCTCCTGATCTTTCTGATGCGACGGTTCAAACGGAGAGTGACATAACAGACAATAAATTGTTTAAGGATATGTTTTTAGACACCGGGTCGGGTTACTCTATGTTTCCGGGGTTTGATGATTTTTGTGGCGATTTCTACGTGCCGGAGTTCACAAATTTTAATTATGAAGAAGGCAACATGGATGGGTTAATAATTCACCATTCATTGTTATGGAGTTTCTAAATGATTTCATGGAGTTTCTACGTGACAGTGCTGAATGGATTTTTACTCGATTTGAAACCGGGTTAGGGTGGGTCAGTTTTTTGTTCTTATAGGATCGAGTGCTACACAATTTTTTTTTGTAAAATCTTTACCGAGACATTTCGGTTTTGATTTTTTGTGGATATGAAACATGAAACAACGTAATGTGGTCTAATGGCATAAATTTTTAGGCATTCTTTAAACTGTAATATACTATAATAAATATAGTAAACTCTTATTTATCCCACTTAAAAAGTTGGATAATTTTACTTTCAATTAAAATACTTTGAAAGAAACAAATAATTATACTATTTAATAAATAATTAAATATATTAAAATATTAAAATTAGAGATGTAATCAGATTGATTTGAATCAATTTTTGAAATAATAGATATGGTTTAATAAGATCACATTTTTGAAATAATAGATATGATTTAATAAGACCACATTCTCATATAAATCCGAGTCCAAAAATTAAAAGAAGAGTGTCGGAATCAATAATTCTATTAATTTGGTTTGTTTAGCTTTTTAACATTTTTCAAAAATCCACTAAAAAATTGTCATTCTGTTTTTGCTTAAAACGCCGTAGGTATATGTATGATAACCGTTGGTATAGATTTTTTATCAAATTAGTTATTAGTGAATGGGTGAATTATATATTAATATATATAATAATTAAAAGAAATAATGTTTAACCTGTCCAAATTCTATTTTATGGTTTGACAAAATTTTCACTTGCATCTTTTTAACATACGAAAGATGAAATTCTCCCTCTCAAAATTTCATCAACCGCTAACCTAAAATCATTTCACTTGTTTCAGCCCTCAACAAAATTTTATTTAATACGGTAATTCTAAAAGTATTTCAGCAATAAATATTATTTGTTTCAGCAATTAATAGTACTTGTTTCGGAAATCAACTTTACTTGTTTCAGCAATCAATAGTATTCGTGTTTCTTTATTTTTCAATTTCTCTATTTTGTTTTGTTTTGTTTATTCGAGAGAGTCATATTAATGTTTATTGAAATTCATGTTTTAGTCTAATTGTATATTAAGAAAATTACAATATTGTTTATTTTTACTGTTTGGTTATTTTGTTTTATCAAACTGGGTTACAGGTTGGAGAGGGTTGGTGCTATTCAGTTTGTTTGTACAATTCTCTCAAAGTTTAGGGTTGGAGAGAAGTTAGGTCATGGGTTTAGGGCTACACACCATTTATAATAACTGATTTAGTCATATTATTTTATTGTGTTTTTATGTCTACGTAATTATTTCGTCTGTGTTACAATATATATTATTTTTCTTATTTTTATTTGTTTAAGTTATTTATTCATTTTGAATATCAATATATTATTTATTATTTGTTTTTACTAATTTATTTTTTATTTGTTGTATTTTAAATCATGTAATTATTCAATTATCTATTATTAATGAGGCTATTTTAGTAAATGACATTTATTTTATTATTGAAATTAATATAATTAATTATTATCTTAAAAAATTAAAAAATTTAAAAAAGACATCTATTATGAGATGGAAGAAATTCTTCTCAAAATTTTTCTTTTAAAGAGAAAATATAGCTAAATATTTAAAAAAGTGATAAGGATTCAGCGTCATTATAAAGATGTTTACTTGACTGTCCAATGATTTGAACATCCAAATTCATGAGAATTAATGTATCTTGAATAATAGTGTTACTGTCTTTCCTCATGTATATGTGTGGAATAATGGCATAAATTGCTCCCTGTAACAACTCCCGAGCCAAAAGTTGCCTAATTGAATCCTATCACCTAAAATTGGAATCTACTCTTTTGAATGAGTTACACAAATTTATGATCAAGAGTTGATTAGTTACTCAACATTTTAACTCCTAAATTTCATTCATTATAGGGGCTATATCAACGCAGTTGAGGCAGATTATATTATGATATATACGTTAATATTTCTATTTCACTTGTATCACATCATCACATAATTTTATATGACATATATATAATTTTATTTTTATTTTTTAAATAAATAAATATTATATTTATTCTCTATTGAAAATCACGGATTCAAATATTTTACTTATTTGTTCTTAAATCATTTCAATAGTTCTCATGTCTATTTTTATTGGATTATACATAATTCTTTTATAATCTTATATATATATTCTCAAAAAAATTTATATATTTTTAAAAATTCAACATATTTATATTAACTTTATTTAATTATCATGAATTTATAATTTAAAATAAAATATTATAAATATAAGTTAATTAATTACATTTACCAAAATAAAATATATTAACTAAATAAAAATTTAAATATAAAACATAAACTAATCTACACCCGCGCATAGCACGGGTCCTAGTTTTCATTAAAAAAGAACCTACTTGTGGACAAATTGGTAATATGTTTATTGCACGTTCTTTTTATAATACCAAATTTGCAGATTTAGTTTTTCATATTCTTTCTACACGTGTATACAGAAAGTAATCTCGTGTCTACCTTACACTTTGTTTGGATCTGAAAAGAAAGTAGAAAGAAAGAAAATGAAAAAGAAAGAAAGACAAGGAAGAGAAAATGAATAGAAAGTGTGATTATTTTGTTTGGTATAAGTGAAATCTAAAAGGAAAGAAAGAAAAAATGAGATTAAAAAATTAACAAGTTTTCTAAATGGCATTCATAGCCCTGTTAACTATAATTATGTTCTTTGTATAATACCATTTCATATATAATATTTTTACATAATGTTTATTAAATCATTTCAATAATTTTTATGATATTTTTATTGGATTGTGCATAATTTTTTTTTATAATTTTATATATATATATATTTTCAAAAAAAATTTATTTATTTTTCAAAAATTCAACATATTTTTATTAACTCTACTTGATTATTTTGAATATGTAGTTTAAAATAAAATATTATAAATATAAATTGATATATTATTATTATTATTATTAATATTATTATTAATACTATTATAATTATAATTATAATTATTATTATAATATTATTATTATTAATATTATTAATATTATTATTACTATTATTATTATTATCATTATTATTATTAATATATTATTACTATTATTATTATTGTTATTATTATTATTATTAATGTTATTATTATTATTAATGTTATTGTTATTATTATTATTATTATTATTGTTATTATTATTATTATTATTGTTATTATTATTATTATTATTGTTGTTGTTATTATTGTTATTGTTATTATGTTATTATTATTATTATTATTATTATTAATTTATTATTATTATTATTATTATTTATTTATTTGTTTATTTTATTTTTTTTGGAAATAAAGATTATATTAACCAAAAAAATAGAAAGCTACAAAGCGACCTAAAGGGTCCAGCAAAGAATAAAATCCACATCGGTCCACCTAATTAAGACAAAAAAAGTTGGGCTATTCTATGTCTAAACTTGGAGAAAATCCAAACTCGGTTCACTATATTATCCACAATGATTCTAAACTTATTCCTAATAGTATAATTCTTGTTATAAACAACTCTATTTCTATCCCATAAGATCTCATAAATTGTTTCCGCTATGGCAATCATGACAAGCTGGCCACGCCAGTACTTGCTCTTACACACTTTCACAATCCACTCTAGCTCTTGATCCCAGCCTTGAACTTTATAGTTAACATTTAACCACCTAAGGACATCCATCCAAATATTACTAGTAAACCTGCATTCGAAGAACATGTGGTGAACAGATTCAACATAATTATAGAACAAGCAATTAGGTTGGTGAAAGATGCCAATCTTCGCCAATCTGTCTTTAGTAGGAAGTCGTTTATGGCATGCAAGCCACATCAAAAAAACAACACGAGGCCTAGCTATATTCATCCTAACAATACCACCCCAATCAGCAATGGGAATATCCTTCAAAAATTCTAAGTAAAACTTGTTCATGAGGAATTTACCAGAACTCTTCAAGTCCCCTCACTGGGCCAGCCTCATCGCATCAGACCAAACTTTAAGGATACTTCGAAGGATCCAAGAGCCATTATCTTTAACTTTCATTAACATAATGTCATCATTTTTCACATAATAGGCATGGATCCACCTAACCCACATGTTGTCAGCTTTGCTGCTTAAATTCCAAAGCAGCACATGCACACTTTATTCCACATAGCCAGGTTGATAATTCCTAACCCACCTTTCTTCTTAAGAGTACACACAATATCCCACGCCACAGGGGACTTCCTTGAACCAGCAGCTTTGCCAGCCCAAACAAAGGATCTACACATAGTCGCAAGCTGCTTTGTCACTCCTTTGAGCAGAAGAAGACAACTCATCCAATAATTGGCATACCCAAGGATCACAGTATTCACTAAGTGAACCCTACCTGCATAGGTTAGTAAGTGAGAGCTCTAATGTCTGATATTAACACTGATTTTCTCCGCAAGGGCATAACATTGATTAGAGGACAATTTTTTGCTATTTAGAGGAATCCCTAAATATTTGAAAGGAAGACAACCTCTACCAAAACCTGTAATTTTCTCCAATTCAGCATGCTCTTTAACATTCAAACCACCACAATAAAGTTTATATTTACTAGGATTCACCTTTAAGCTAGTGGACAAAGAGAAACCAGAATCATCAACTGAACAAAAATATTATCGCCTCTAGAAAATATTAAGAGGTCATCAGCAAAACTCAGCTCAACTAGATTCAGCTTCTTGCACTTGCTATGATAATTGAAATTGGGAATTGAGCTCAGGCCATCCAGCTTTCTATGGAGATACTCCATTATGACAACAAACAAGAGAGGAGAGATGGGGTCACCCTGTCTCAATCCTCTAGTTTCCTTCATTCTCATAGAGATTCTACCATTGATATTGAATTGGTACGACACTGTAGACACTGCTATCATCACCCACCCGACAAATCTCCTAGGGAAACCTAACTCAGCCAAGATAACCTATAATGCACACCAGTCCACAAAATCATAAGCTTTC